GTTAAATGCTGCTTTGTTTATGGTTTGTATGTGCACATCATAACCTCCGGCTGCTCTTTGTGAAATGAGAAAACAGACTACTGTCCCCTGCAGGTGCAGAACCTGTGGCTGCTGTTCGTTTGATGTGTGCATGACCAACTTTTTGGTGCAATGTAGATTTTGTCAGCGCTAGATCTTTGGCATCAGCTTGGTGTCCCTACCTTTATTTGTGGCATGTACATGGCTAATGCTTAAGCCTGGTTTATATTTCTGAGTTAAGTGATCAACGTGACCCATGGCGCATGCAATGTGTGTTGCCGTGCATTTATACATCTGCATGCTGTTTGTGTTGCTCTGCAATAACACATCCGAAATGCTAGCTGGCAGTGAGGTTTTTATGTTCCTCTGTGTCGAGTTTCTTCGCTGGTGTTTTGTTTTTTCTAAACACTTCATTATTGTACAAGTAGCTCAAACTCGCTCATTTTGAGGTGGGAACCGGCAGACGTGCCACTTTATTCATAAGGTAAACACAAAACAAAACTTTCCATCTGGAGCTCCTTCATGGGACTCGACACTTGTAAACACTCACTCCAATGGGTTCGCGTGGCTCTCAGTCCGGCCCACACTTGTTAGCGCTACCAAGCCGAACAATCACAAAGCTTGCACTATGCATTGTTGACACGTGTAGTTCTATTTTTTTAGAGAAGCGCGTCTGCGACGGCCACAGCAAGGGCTATGCGACTATGCGCAGGCTGCGCCGAAGCGTACACGTGCGCTTGATACAGAAATATAAATCAGAATTGATTCAGTTTTAGCAGAGTGGGGGCTTCTTATCGGATTCCACCATTGCATGCCATGTTCTAGGAGGGGGGAGTGTTATTAAGAATGTGAAAAAAGTGAGAAAGGCAGGAATATGCAGTGCGAGGGACAGATGAGGGGTGTGATGCGGCTGAATGGAATTGTCTGAGGTGAGAGATGCAAACGGGTGTTGGAAGTTTGTTCTGTATCTACACCCCGTTGGCCCTTGTCGGTCTCTAGCAACAGAAGATGTTAACACCACTCTGGGTCTAGGTTGCTGTGCACTGATTAAAAGGAGTGTGTAAATGTACGCATATGCATGTGTGTGTGCGAGAGCGGGTGGGTTGATGGGGGCAGGAGTGTAAATGGAATTTGTGCAGCAAACAGCTGGACTAGTTTATTTAAACACAAGCAGGCCATAGCGACTGACCCCAGACTGACTCTTTGAGAGGAGGAGCCGAGATGGACTTTTATGACTTAGGTTGAGATGAGATGTTCGTATTAATGACATTTACCTTGAGGCATTCCAACTTGTGAAGTACTAATTGCTTAAGTAAATGGATCTCTAGAGCAGACACCAATAATAATGTTGGTTTCACCAGAAGGGTCTTGATGCATAATTAGTTAGTTGAATTATAGCAGTGACAATCTAAGGGTGGGCACAGCTACTTTAAAAATGAAATTTGACAGTGTACAAGTTTAATATTATTTTTAAATTGCACTAAAAATTACAACCACTAAATAGAAGCAATATCAATTTACTGTGCACCTATTTGTCAGTCTCTGATTTACGAATTACCCTGGCATATGTTTTATGTGGCAGATGCTTTTCCATCCACAACAATTTATAATTTTATTTCTAATTTAATTGAATTAGATTAATAATTATTTAATTCTAATTTAACCTAAATTAATTATTAGAAACTATTACCACCAAAACGGTGGGTCTTTTGAATGAATGAACACATAATCACAGAAATTGATTAACTATTAAGCAGTTTCCAACTTAAAAACAACTTAAAAAGTTGGTTTTGTAAAAAATATTAGCCATTTCATGAAATAATTAGCTTTTTAATTTTAGTATTTTTGGAAAAAGTGTTTTTTATTTGATCAAATCATTAAATATCACTTAGGAATATTACATTGTGTGATGCGTGTTCGTAATGAGTGTACAAATGAAAATATCACTGCATTGTAATAAAGTACCTTGTCACTGAAAATGCTACAATGTTTTGAAAACAACAGAGCTAATCTGTAGTTTTTAGTTTTAGTCACCCCTTACTAAACTGATATAGGTGTCGTTACTTAATTTTAATCGATCATTATGCTGAACCCATAGCATCTTTTAGATGTTTTCTTTTAATGCATTTCATTTTTTTTGTGCTGGAGATTCCTGTAGAGCCACAGATGCAGATCTGAATCATCAGATCATTCTATTCCATTGGTATTACTGATATGCCTGTTTGTGGGTTTTTAATATACATGTAAATGTAGCTGAGTGTGTTGAAATGTGATTTCATGAGTGAATTTGGTCCTCCGTAGTCAAGCATGCACCCCCTCAAACAGTTTACATCTGAGAGAGAAGGAAACGAGCGAACGAAGGGGCATTTCTGAGAAAAACGGCATACTTCATATGCATTTAGATAGACATACTGAAATATAACCTTTTGTATCTTCAATCCGGATCTTTCCAGCAACACTTATTAAATTATTCCCTAATTGGTCACGCAACAAAGGCAGCTGATGAAAAAGACAATTTCTTGCTTTTAATTGGCCATTTCACGTGCCGTCCGTGCTACACCTGTGCGTTTGTAATGAGAGTGGGATATTAGCGAAGGCTCTGGCAGACCCGACAAAGATCAGATCAGCTGTCAGTGAAATCGGGAATGAGCAATAGTGCTCAAATGTGTTACGAAACCAACACTAACAGAATGAGAAGAACCTAGCGTCTATCAAAATCCATTTTAGCTCATAAACACTCTCATTTAAATCTTTTTTCCCTCATCCTTTTAGTGAGGCTCTGTATTTTTAACCTTTCCTTTTTTACCCTACTTTGGTGGTGCCACTAGTGGCATTTTGCTTTAAAATAACCCCCCATTGTCCCAAGCTGGGCTCAATAGTTGGCTTCATTGTGTGCCTATGGGAAGCAGAAACCGAACAGGCCATAAACGCAGTCCTATAGCAAGGAGAGGTCGCGCAAAGGTGAACTTTTACTCCTAATGGAGGCTCCAGCTTTAGCCTGGCCCGTATGGCTCTCTGCTCCTTTTGATTGCCTTCTTAACCGTCAGCGCCAGGGCGTCCGCCTGCCTCACAGAACAGAGCATGACCATTCTTTCTCTTTTTCCTCACACTCCTACCCCCCCTTTCCTCAACCCCACCACCTCTCCATCCCCCTGCCTGGTATTGTGTAGCACTTGTCCTTTGTTCCAGCTTTTGCCGCATCTGGCCTTAGATATAAGGAAGAACGGGAGAGGAAGCTTAAGATACCTTTAAAAAAGAAAGAACGGGCATTTCCACAAAAAAAGGGAGCAGAAAAAAGGCAGAAAGAGAGCGAGGGAGGAAAATCCAAACAGCAGAGGTCAGCAGATAGACAACAGTGCCCCCCCTTTGACCCTAGCCTGAGATGAAGGCAGTAAAAGGAATGCCTAGTCTAAGACTCCCCCTGCTCTCCAGCCCACTGCTGGTGATAAAACTCCAGACATTCTCTCATTTGATGGTGCACTGCCATGTCAGTACATTCCTCCCCAATCTTTTTTTTTTTTTTTTTAGCCTTTAAGGTGATGTCGTTGAGTGATATTGGTGACATATATATAAAAGAAAAGTTTTGGTCTCTGGTAAAATGCAATGTATGCAAAAAAAAAAAAAAAAAAAACTCCACAAAAGCCTTTACATTACAGTAATTTTACCATGGGGTAAAGATGATGAGTGCCTAAAAGTTACCTTGATGTAAAGGTAATGCCTAAAAGTTACCTTAATGCAAAGGTAAATTGAAAAAGAACTGTCTGGAGGGGCTTAACAACACTGTTCAATATTTATTTTGTTTCTTTTAATAGCAATCATAATTATTAAAATAATAATATATTATTTATAATAAAATAAATAATTATATTAATAATTTATCAGTAGTAATAAATAACAATCATGTTCTGACAATACAAACTGTAGTGTGGCTGATATAATCCAAATTGAGAATTGTATTGAAAAAAATCGGAATTGTCCATTTTAAAACTGAGAAGCATGAAGCTTAGCAGATGCCTCTGTGAACGTTTTTCGTCTCCAAGTTTTGCTCTCTCTTTATTCCCCCTTTTCTTGTTCTCTCCCTTCACCCCAAGCACACCTCCCTTACTTTTTCTCAGCCTGAAAAGAGGAGCAGAGCTATTGTTTCCTTAAAAGTCTACTAATTCCCCCCTCAAAGGATGAAATGGAAGTGTCCAACTGTGGTAACAGCAGGAGGACATAAATCAAGTTGGAACCTCTGAGCTTAGTCTCCTGGAGGTGACCAGGGTCACAGGGTCACTAGAGGGGATTTGGGCACAATAAGGCCAAAGCATTGCAGTGTATGGTGCAAGTAGGTCGGGGTCAGAAGCTATAGAGGCCAGATATGTTTTTATCCAAAATGGTATGCACAATATGCTGTGTATGCAGTTGTTTATTCAGCGAGGTAAAAAAAAAAAACCCTCATTTAAGTCACTGTTTCATTATTCTCCCTCTAGGGAGACGCAAGGAAAAAGAAAACATGACTTTTATTGGTGCTCTCAGACAATGCAACACTTTTTCTGTTAGCAAACATTTCCTAAACACATTAATTCCTGTGGTGCATATCAACTGTGTTACATCTGGCATCAGGATTTGAATCTTTCAGTGGTTTAAAATAATGTTCGTAAAAAAAGGAAAAGGAGTCTCTTAAACTGCACTGAGAAAAACACCACTTTCCTCAAAGTGCTTTTGAGCCCTTTGCTTAGCAGGCGATATATATTAAGCCAGCGCAAGTTTGTACAAGTCATAATCTTTGTGAACATTTCTGTGTTATGGAACAACTCTCCTGACACTCCCACTGGAGCACTTGAGGATTAGAGCAAAAAAAATCCCCCAATTACCCATCTGATTAGTTATCTGGGCTGATCTGGACAGCAGCAGGCTTGGACGTGACTGCATTTACACACAGCACAAACACCAAAAGTCACTTTTAAATCAAAAGTTGCATCTTTTTGTTTTGTTTTTTTACAGGTTCATTAACGCAAGAAGAAGAATAGTGCAGCCCATGATCGACCAATCCAACCGAGCAGGCAAGTCCCCCATAGTTTCTGTATTCAAGTCCCGCAGGCGAAAGCCCCCTGCAAGCTATGCACCCGGAGGCCCACCTGCCGGTAAATACTTAGCCCAGCCTGGATGTCAACAATGATTGACCACTAAAATCCATCTAATTAACCCAAAGCACTAATCATGCTGACTTGGGCGCTACATAACCCAATGACGAAGAGAAGCAAGCGAACATACGATGGGTTGTAGTATTGAAACAATAACTACAGCTGGATTCTTTTACTTTTTAAACTCATTATCCTACAAAGGCGGATAGTGGAGAACAATTTGATCAAGTAAAGATATGAATCTATTTTTTTTCTCCTTTTTTGTGGCCATGTTTGTCTTCCAGCACAGTTTCTTTCAGCTAGTGAGCAGTGCCCCTGGTGCATGGCTTGTTGTGGACTGCTGTAAAGTTTATTACCTGTAATAGGGTTCAGGGGGCAGGGTTGCATTAGGGACTCAGTAAAGTTCAAAAGCATTCAGTGGGCTTGAGCTGTTGCTTTTGACCAAATAACCTCCCCAGCACACACACGCACAAATTCAACAGCTTGAACACACGGTAAGTCTATCTGAATTAGCTTGTATGGGGAAATAAAATAACACATATTTATATTATACAGTTTCACCGAGTGTCTAAAAATGTTTCCCGTGCCTATAGGATACAGGATTAGTTCTTTGATCCCAGTGCTTAAGCTTCATTGGGCATGTTCTGTCAAGTGTTGTATCTCTCACGAAACCCCAAGAAACTGTGCGAAATGCCCCAGTCTGCATGTACGTTAACAGATGATGTTTCTCCTGCTACTGAAACTTAATTAAAAACACTAATTGACCACTCTTCATTTCCCCCGCATTCCCTCACCATGCTTTCCTGCAGTAAGTCAAGGAGCTCCCTACAACCCAGATGGTCAACCCATGGGAGGCTTCGTGATGGACGGCCAGCAGCACATGGGAATCAGACCACCTGGTAAGACCTTGGCGTGTCTTCTCCTCTGACATCTCCCACCTTCCCACAACCCCCCAACTACATCCTTCTGAATTTTAGACTGAGAATCTTGGCTAGCACAGGTGTGGTCCAATACATTACCCCCTCTTTTGTCCCTTTACAGTTTTTATTTTAGCTTTCAAATACCCATCTTTCTAGAATTTGCTGTGCATTCTGAATCTAAGCCTATTCTACCCTGTGCAACTGGTCACTGTTGCTAACCACTCATCCCCTCCTACCTCACAAGTTAAGCTGCAGGATTTGTCCAAAGCCAGGCTTCCTTCCAACCTTTAGCCTTTGAATGCATTATTTACTTGTTTGTTTACTTATGTTGTCTTATTTGTACCATATGGTGTTTCTTCTCCTTTCTTTTAATAAATGGGGATTTGTGCTTTTGTTTCTTGAACTCCTGTCTCTGAGCCATGGTCTGTTTATTTTCTCATCTTTCGGCATCTTCTTCTTCGATTGTTTTCTCTCCTTCTAGGGCCTATGAGTGGGATGGGAATGAATATGGGCATGGAGGGACAGTGGCACTACATGTAACCTTCTAGTTAACCAATCGCAAAGCAATGGGGGAAGTAAGTACAAAAGCAGGGTCATTAACCATCCTTGAATTTTGTCATGTGTTTAGCAATTAATTTGATTTGCTTTAGCAAAAAAAAAAAATGGGAGAAAATTGTCTTTTGAACTGAACAACACGCTGCTTTTTCCTGCTTATCAATACTAATATTTCCTGGTCCTGTGGGTGAAAAGCTTTGAGCAAGGTGTTTATGTGCTGTGTAATCCATGCCTCTTTTATTTCTGCACATTTCTGGCCATGTTACTAAACAGTGCATAGAGTCATATAGAAAGGGGAAAATAAGTGTGGGCGAGTGAGAGAGAGACCGACGAGAAGGAATAGCTGTGTGGGGAAGGAGGCAAATGGAGGGTGGGGGGATTGAGATTGGGGTTTTGGTCGGAGAAGGGGAGGGGTGTGTTACCATAGCAACAGACTGATTGGCAAAATGTAAGCAGTCTGCAGCAGTGCAAGGAGAGAAAAGTGCATGTCCCCAAAGTGTCATAAATCTGTCTCCCTACAGTTGATGCATGAGTTACATTTATACACCAACCTGCAAGGCAATGCACAAAGAATCGCTCTCTCGCCCCACAGCCAACACATAGCCACACATTTGAAAATTATGTCAGCCTTGCATGGAATTTTTAGGTGGAGCTGGTTTTATCGACCCTGACTTGGTCCACTATTTTCTTGTCTGTCTTTCCTAATAGGATTACTAATGGCAAAGGCAGGGAAGATGAAGAAGTGCAAAATGGAGGTGTGCACAGCAGGGTACACAGCTTAGTCCAGCCTAATTGACTATATCCAAATTAAATATGCCATCACAAGCGGTGTGACAAATGGATTTGACTTATTCGGTATACAAAAATAGCGATCATTAATGCAGCCAAGCACAGAATGCCTCTGTTGTCAAAGATACTCTCTCGACTTCACTGTCTTTAACCACGAGACACAGGATGATAACACAAGCTCTGTGCTGTAAAACGTCACGTCCCCGCTTTGTGTGCATGTCTAAACACTGAGAGTGTTTCCCGGTGTCCAAATGGCTGCTTACAGCAGCTGCTGTAGTTCCCAGAAGACACAAGAGAAACCTGCTTTAAACAGCCTCAATTTGCTTGCCGAATTCTGTAATTGGGCCGCGTGTGGAATCTTAGATGAGATGGGTTGAGGGGAAAAAGAGAGCAAGAGAGAGGGGGAAATGAGGAAGGAAAAAGAGGCAGAGTGTGACAGAAATATGTCGCCATGGTGAAGAAATGCCTGGTCTTTATGGCTTCATCACTGAAATTTCCTAGCTTGTCTAATTTGAATATTGTTACTATAGTTTCTAGGTCAATTAAATATAAGTGATGTGTTTTATACTTTGCGACCAATTAAATTAATAGGTTATTACAAAAAAAAAACGTTATCTTATTTGATTAAGAGACCAAGGCTTCATTATATTTTATAAGCAATTTTCATTAGTTGAGGAATTCTCCTCAAGGCGAGATTAAGCAGTTATTTGCTGGGAAGTCCCAAGACTTGAAATTAAGGTGTTCCACGCAGTCACACTGCAACATTACTTAAAACCAAAGCCAATTAAACCTACTTAGCAAAGCGTTATGCTTTCTGCCCATGACGATTATAGAGCTTATAGCTCTCCGAAACAATACACCTGTCAGCGTGGATAAAGCCTAGCTACTCAAGCAGAAGAGGGTGAGCCTTTGATAAGCGAGGGAAAGACTGTTTTATGACCATTTTCCCCATACCGCTCTTTGTGTTTCTTCAACAAAATTAGCCAAGGGTGGCCAAAATTTTTTCATTTTAATTTCAAGACAATAGTGAATGCAGAGAGCATTAATTATGGGCATATGGACAAAAATGTTGCCCTCCCCGTCCATACTTGAACGCAGCTGGTATGCTTTGGTGAGCTGGAAGCTCTGCTGGAGACTCCTTTGTCCGAAATTTCATTCCTCCCATTCATTAAGCAGAAGTTTGTTAACCTTTTGCAGGGTCAAGGTACCCATTTTTCTGCTCTGAACTTTTACTTTTAAAGGGGGAAAGGGTCTTCAGGGATTTGCCTGCTGTATTGTGTATGTTAAACATCCCCTGTTGATTCGGTCCCATGGCACCTCTGAAAATAGACAGGCAAGGAACTCAATGTATTGATTGACTTATTAAGTGAAAAACCGCATTTGCAATGTGTGCCCTTTTCACATCCGAGCATTGCTTTTCTGATAGAGCGGATGTTTTCCTACCTCGCCAAGCAGCGTTTTCAAGGATTGAAATCAAATAGAGCTGATGACCCCTCAAAAGCTTGGGTCAGGCCGTTTAGTAGTAAATAATTGCAGGGGCATACAGATTACCACTTCACATGCTAGTACAAAACAACAACCATTCTGAGGCTGAAGCCTGAAAACATATAACCAGAGCAACAACAAAAGGGCTTTTTATTTGTACCCCTTTGAACCTGAGCTTGATTTGTTGCTCTGTATTGCTGCTGTCACAGGGTTAGTGGCCTTTCTGCTCATGGCACGTGCACGCACCCAGGTGAGGCCTCTCAAGTGACGGCCTTTGTAAATTTTCACCTTTCGTCTTTAATTTAAGCACAATGGTGGCGTTTCTCTGAGGGGCTCTCAGAGCGAGCCACAGACCTTTGCTCATTGTGTTTAAAGTGAGATAAGTGAGGGGAGAACATAGAATAAAGGCATGGCTTATTCTACCTCATTTGTCATTGTTGTGGCTTCCTCTGGCATAAAGACTTGGCCCGTGCTTAGGACACAGCACAGCCTATTTTCACCTACCAGCCGTTTAGTGTTAGATTTCACATATGTATGTATTGGTGTTATTTGAAAATTAAAACCATTCCTAGAGTGTGATTAAAAGGTTAATAAAGAGTAGATGCATCTATGTCTGTCCTCTAATAAATAAGGCCCCGTTTACACTAATGCGTTTTAGTTTGAAAACGCATAAGTTTTGCTACGGTTACGCCATCCGTCCACACTACGCCGGAGTTCTCGAGCGCTGAAAACGAAGCGTTTCGAAAACGCTGGAGAGGCCGTTTTCATTCTGAAACGCTGCTGCTCCGTCTCGGTGTGGATGAGCAAAAACGGAGACATCTGAAAACGGAGGCAGGGCTGCCGACATTCGCCTCTCTGAAGGCTGCAGTCTCTTCTTCTCAGTTTGATATGGAAAACAGACTATACCGAGAACACGGGTAAATCTTCGTACTTTATAGTGTACTTTATAGCTTCATTCACATCGCCCTGGCTACGTTGTTTCACTTTCTCAACAATAAAATATAAACATGATTTAAGGAACTGCCTATTTTTATTTTAATATTGGCAACTTAGACAGCAGAAATGTTGAGGCGTCGTGCTGCATATATGAGCGTCATCTTCACTGTGTGGATATTTATAACAAAACGGTGCCTATAACAACTGCCTCCTTTCAATTTCAGTGAAAATACGAAACACCCTCTCTTTTGCTGAATATCAGTTTTAATTATCGATAATGGCCATTATAAAAGTATAACATACAATAAGTTTATACATTATAGGAAATAAAGGCAAGCGATCAGTCAATAAACAGAATAGGCTACATGGTTACATTAATCATTAACTTATCTTTGCGCTCAGCCAAAACACGTTACCTGAGAACAAGTAATAGATTCCAATGACCAAAGTCAGGGAATATGTCGTTAGATAAAGACAACAAGATGAATGAAATATCCCGTTTAATAAATATAGTGAGATTAGATCCAGCGGGAGATGCTTGACGAGAAGTTCGACTAGCACAGCTCTCATCCGTGTAGATGGGCTGCAGCGCTTGCCCGAGAGTGTCTGTGTGGTCACGTGATGTGCGTTTTCAGCGTTTTGGTGTGGACGGAGAGCAGTTCAGAAACGCTGAGTAAAACGCGAGTGTGGACGTGGATCATTTTCATTCTAAAACGCCGTTTTAAAACTAAAACGCACAAGTGTAAACGGGGCCTAAGTCAATTGTATAATTTAGGCACATCATAGTGACTTATTGAGCGGTGGGCAAATAATATATAGATTTCATCATAGCGCTGTACTCCTAGACAGATATAAAATGTGCAAATAAAGCATAACAACAGTTACATATCGACCTTCTGGTTGACCTTAGTGAGGGACAACCTTCCGGTTGACTAGTCAGGTATGAATGTGGCAGATTCCAGACCTGATGGATATGGCATTGAGTACGGATCCCCACTGCAGGCAGCAGCAAAGTGCCGTGTTCAGGCCAGTGAGTTAGTCCCTAGAGAGCCACCCAGTCCCACTACACAGATTTCTCATGTAGTCTCTTTCCATGCTTCACAGAGGACAGTCCTCTCATACATGCACATGGCTCATATGCTTTTTGCTGCTGTAAATGCAAAGTGAAACATTCCTTGTAAAGGAAACCTTTGGCTTGATGACCTCCCACAACATATTACAAATACTGCAATGAATGAGCGTCAACAGAAATCGCTATAATCTTCTCTGTTATTTTCTTTCCTAGGACTACAGAGCATGCCAGGGGATTACCTGTCACACAGTGGCCCGGTGGCGATGGCAATGGGGCAACCAGGCTACAGCGCTTCCCAGATGCCCCACCACCCTGCTCAGTTGCGGCACGGCCCTCCTATGCGTTCATACATCCCTGGACACCTCCATCACCCGGCGATGTTAATGCACGGAGGACCGCCTCACCCTGCCATGCCCATGTCAGCCTCAAGCCCCCCAATGTTCAATCCAGGAGATCCAACAATGGGAGGACAATACATGGACATACATGCCCAGTAATTTACTAAAACGGATTCTTTAAATGACTGCAATGGACAGACGAGGATGCTGCGATTGGTTTTTTTGGGGGCTTCCAAAGCACCGATTACATACTGACTTTTTTTTTACAGAGACTAGGGAGCTTGCATCTTGGCTAGAGTTTTGGACCAAGAAAGAAGCCAATTTCTGTAAACTCTGAGACACTTTAAAAGGAGGTGCCCTTTGCATAGACGCAAAAAGAGAAAGAAAATTTGAATTTATTACTATATCAGCCTCTAAAGGGGAGGGATGAGGACATACTGTATACTGTTGTAAAACTGCATTGGACTTTCATAAGAACTGGGAAAAAAAGTATTGTAAATGCTATCGTATTGTTCTGCATATTATGTTGTTTCTAATAGATTTTTTAAAAAAAGGATGTGAACTTTTTTTCTTTCCACACTATGTGTGTGCCATCTCCATAAACTTTTGGCCTCCTTCATAAATCACTTTGCGTTTAAACCAGAAAAAGAAAAAATATATGTGAATAAATCAATAATTCATTGAATACATGTTTGCCAGGCCATTTTTTTTTTCTTGTCCTGTAAGGGAGCGGATATTCCATGACCCGTCTTGGCCTTGAGAAGAAACTGAGTGATATCTACCTGTCTGAGCCACATCGTCCTGCCTTTGGGAGGTCTCCATTTTGCATTCCCAGTCTGTACAACAGAACTGGGCCCATATCATCGTTGGAATGAATGAAAATTATTTTCACTTACCTTTACTGGATGTGTGGGACACTGAATGTGAAGAACAAGCCTGTGTGAGGAATTGTGCATTTGTGTGTGTGTGTGTGTATGTGTGTAACCCATTAAACTTTAAGAGCTCAAATTGTTTGGGAATTAGGACTCATAAATGCTTTTGATTAAGCCAACCTGTTTGGGGTACATGGGTTTAACATGTTGCTATCACTTGTTTAAATTTTGAAGAGTTTATGTATACACTGTAAATGAATAAATTTTGTGTAAAAAAAAAAAAAGGGGGGGGAACATGAGATATTTTATATAATCATGTTTCGGCCCAGTTAGATTTTAGATCAGGCTGCTTTACCAGCGCTTGTCCTCTGAAAGCTGCAACAACAGGTTTTGTTTTTTTTTTATTCTGTTTTTTACATATTCTCCATTTTTACTGAATATAACATTAAAATTGTGAAATGCTACATTTTATATAACACTACATTTAAAGCTATTTATTTTCCATTTCTGCCTTTTGCTACTCAGTAAGAGTAGCATTTAAATGAGCAAAAAATTTATTATTTGTGCAAAATTCCACATTTTCCTTGAGAATCCACAAATTCAAAAGTCCATATAAAAATGATCCTCATTAGTTAATTTTTTGTTAGTTAATTTTTAATTATTTATATTAATTGTTATTAATTTAATGTTCATAATGTTTTTATACATGTCCCACTTACAATCTTCGTTTTAAATGAAACTTCTAATCTTTTTTCCCAGACTATTCTACTTTTTATAATTTTTTTTTTTTTGTGATATGATTGAGAATATAAAGCCATAGCCTACCTTATGATGGCGCTTGAATCAAACTTCATGGTTATATGAACCACCTATATTCATCCAAGGATTAATTTGAGACATTTTAAGACTAGGTCTTCAGGTTTATCTCATCCTTGGGTCACGCCTTTCACTGCAGTGTCCACAGAGCAATTAAGTTCTGAACAACACAAATGAACAGGTTATTTTGTAAGTTGCACGTAATTACATTAGTTTTGTATTGTAATTAATTATAATAACAGAAGTTACACGAACGCGGTAATATGAGGTGTGAACATGAAGCCCTAATGGACAAGGTGAGTGATAAATATCAAAAGGATACACACCACACGCTAAAGTAGACAGAAATGACGCTTTTTTTTCTAAAATGCTGCATGTTCAACTTTCGATGGCTTGCTAATGTGCAACAAATGTGCGGCCTGCTAGAAAGAGGCTCAAACAGGGGGCTAGATGAGGTGGAGGGACGGATAAAGGAAGAATTATCCCCCGTTTAGCATTAAAATTCATTTAGATAAAATTGCCACAAACACTTAAATGGGAAGATTAGTTCCCCCTCACGCCTTATTTCACCCACTCAATGGCTCCGTCAAGAGCGCTTGAAACGGCATTATCCAGACGACGGCTGTTTCCAAGCTACCCGCTAAAACCAAACGCTTAAATAATGCTGAACTCGACACAGCTAGGCTAATCGAAATGTATGTTTGGGTTACGATAGATTCGGTAATGAAATGTTGTATTCACGTGGGAATTCTGAAATAACCAGCTAGTAACTCTATGGGTGACGCCAGGTTAAACTACACTCCCATAATAAATCAATAAGTTCCCTTTTTTCCAAACCCGTTCTTGAGTTTTCTATCGCCATTGTGTTTTTATTACCTTCCCTTTGCTGAATGTTTCGCTCTCAAGCAACGTTGAACACTGGCGACGCTTTAATGACACCGTTTCAGCTCCTCAGATCTGAATTCCTCCACCGTTCGCCATTCGGTGCTCTGGAGACACAGGCAGAGATAAATCCCATGTTTGACTGCCATCTTTAGGGGATCTGGAAAACTGTCCTTAAGGGAGAGTGTATATTTAATAAATGTTTGACGTTTATCGAGATACTTCAAAGTTATCAGTTACTAAAATTATATAGGCTATGTATTTAAAAATAAAAAATAGTATATATATATATATATATATATATATATATATATATATATATATATATATATATATATATATATATATATATATATATATGGTAAATGAAAGAAGTTAAATGTTGTGATTTTTTTCACATTTTATATGACTTATTATTACAATATAGTTTACTATTTAATCAGATTAATAAACAATATTTAGGACTATATGCAGTTTCTAATTTAGTGTACTTTCTGAATGCATATACAGTTAATTGTTGCTGTTGGTACTATTTTAATGTGTAGAGTTAAATGTGTAGCCAGTAAAATATTTTGCGTGTACTACTTTACTGCCCGATAATTAAACAATCACATGAAGACTTATTGTAAATTTGTTATTTATCCTGTTATCCATCCTGTTATTAACTGTTAGCTAAATTTAGTTTTTCTGTATTTTGTTCTGTTGGTTCGCCATGGGTAAGTTTCTTAATGAGCGTTTCCGTGACCTTTGCAAATGAACACGATTATTGATTTTCTTCATTTATCCGCAGTCAAAGACACGTAATGACGACGCCTTTTCCATCTGTTGTTTAAGAAGAAAGAAGAAAGCTTTTATCTGACTTTGACCACATACTGAACTCTGTGAGTAATGACTGAAAGAAATTTGTTCCATAAGCACAGAGGTGCCCAAACAGGACTTTCTGCCTCCCATAAAGAGCAGCACAGGCTGTGCTGTTGCATGTTTCTGTCATCTGTACTCTGTATTCAAGCAGTTTTGCTTCGGTTTGAAAACTTTCACAAAGGGTCGTGTGTCTTCGCAGTAGCAGTGGCAGATGCAAATGTGGTCCACTCTCCATTAACTGGCCATGTTTGAGAGGGTTATGTCCACTCTGCATGATGTGTGTGTTTGCATCACTGACTTTTTGTATGTAAGTGAAAAATAACGCAGAGACAAGACATTATCCCACAATGCAATGTTTTTTTTCTCCTTGCAAATGTAAACACGGCTTAAATAACCACTACAACAATTAAAAGACATGTAGGCTACACTTATAATAAATAAATGTCAGTAAGTTAATAATCATTTTGCTTCATTTCAAGCATTTACAAATCTTTATTTTCATTCTGACCAATTAAATTAACATTATTTTTGTTTATTTTGAAACATTATTTTTGTTTTGTTTAAAATGTTCATTTTTTTAGAACATTTCCGAATCAAATAAATTTGGTAAATTAAACTTTTAGTCTCATCTTATAGGCCAACCTCAAAAACAAACAACTACACAATAACCTAAATAAATGAACAGTCTAGCTGATTTATATAAAATTGCAAGACCAATAAACAGAATTGAGAGAAGTCGGTGCCTGAGTCTGAATGAAAGTGTAATTTTGTTTCACTGACGTCTCAAGCGTGTTACCACATACAATAATGTTATGTGGCAGCTGGTGGACTACTAGAGAGAAGTCTGGAGAGATGAGATGGAGTGTCCAAAACTGCAGGGCCATTTTGGATGTCATCTGTTTCCTTGGTGACTTCGCCCACCCCTGAAAGCCCCTGGGCTCCAGGATTGTTGGAGAGAAACGCGCTATTTTCTGCACTATCATCTATCACTGTCACCACGTAATGATTCCCCTCGCAGCTCCTTATTGATGTTTGTAATTGCATTATCTCATAAGGGGGTGATCAATGAAAGCGGGCTGCATTCGGGGGTCAGAGGATGCAGGATTGCTTTCTTGTCCGTTAGATTCAATAAGTGCTTATTATACAGCTTCGTTCTCAACAATTAAGTATATATATATATATATATATATATATACACATATTACTGAATATCTGCTTTCTACAAAACTAAATATTAAGTAAAATTATTTACACTGCATGACAAAATTTTTCCCTATCACAAAATATCAGACAATTAAATTGCATGACCTAAAAAGTAAAATTAAAACATGAGGTTTTAAAGTTTATTTTGATGGCATTAAGTTATCCAAAGTGGTCTTCAAATTAATTAGTTTTTCGGCTTTCAGGGGGAGGGTTAGTTGGTAAAGCCAACGAATTAAACAAATGCGTTCTCTTGTACCTTTTGATAGGAGCAATTTTAAATGATGTATTTACACAAATGAGAAAGATCGGATCTCTAAAGATTGCATAGAAAACAATATTCACATATCTACTCGATTATTTTATACAATGCCTTAACAAAAAAGCACAATCGGATTATTTTTAGGCCTATATTAACTAAGATTATGGGTTGCTTTTATTATAACCATAATCTTTATTGTGTTGTTTATGCACAGATTAAGCTGTCATCAGATAAAAACAGAGATACTCATCGTGTTAGTTCATGCAAATCAAATGACGTTTTTTATGATGTCTAAGTGTAAAAGTTGTTACATCTGGTCTCTATTTTAATATGCATTATTATTATTATTATTATTATTATTATTATTATCATTATTATAATTATTATCATTATTATTTTTAAAAGTTGGTGGTGGGCTACTTATTTGTTTATGTGCTATGTTACGACTGGGACATCGTGCAACAGAACCGCGGGATATCTATGAAGCTCTCTCTTACTTTCTCCCTCGATCACTATCAAGGTCAGCGCGGCTGCGGCTTACGGAGGACAAGCGCTGGTAAAGCAGCCTCGGATGTCAGTGAAAGGTGCGCCAGCCCGGCTCCCATCTTCACCTGGTGAGATCCGATCCAATAATAGCCGTTGTGTGT